CAGGTTTGGATAAATCACAATCATTTTTGCCATGAGAGTGTTGCATGTGTGACCTCACAGCGAACTACATGACTACATACTAACACAAGTCACCCTGGGATTCATCAAGTGCAGCTTCTCCTCTAGGGGGCGTAACAGAGCCTAGTTTTATCATATATTTATCATATATATATTATCATTTATCTAGTTTTATCGTATAGCGAGTCATTTCTCAGTCACTCTTAAAAATAAAGGTTTCAAATCTTGTTTTTTTTTATTTATTTATTTTTTCACAGCAATAAAGAACCTTTATTTTTAAGAGTGGACTCTTAAAAATAAAGGTTCTTTATGGGTATTGATGGTTCCATGAAGAACCTTTAACATCCATGGAACATGGAATATTTCTTCTGTGGAAAACAAACACTTTTGGAACCTTTATTTTTAAGAGTGTAGAAGAACCATTTTTGAACATTTTAAGAATAAATATTTTAAAAATAAGGGTTCCAAAAGCTGGTTTGAAAAAAAAAAACCATAGAAGAACCATTTCTGGTTCCCCAAAGAACCATTGTTTTCTTAGTGTGAAGAACATTTTAAGCATCTAAGCAGCTTCTGCCACTAATAAGCTAATAATAAATTGGTGTTTTTGGCGTACAAATGGACTTAACAACCACGATGCTTCAAATAACCACATTTGTACTCCCAGTGACATGCTTCGCATTAATGACACCCATAAATGTTGCAGACTTCACATAGACACATAAAATTTGACAAGGGTTACTTTTGCCATCAATATTTATAATCATGGTCACCGGTTTGTGGACCTGGTGAAAGTCATCATGCAGCTATAAAGAGATTTATAACACTGCTGCACCGCTCAAACACTCACAATGCAACATTAACACCAACAAAAACGACAGGAGAACAGCAAAAAGAGCTTTATGTGACAAAGCCGGGAGCCGCAGATTGCCACAAAACCAAGGTGAGGGATCTGATTTCACACTTAAAATAAAAATATATACATAGTAATATTTAATAATAATAATAATAACATACAGTGTATATACATATATGTGTGTGTGTGTGTGTGTATATATATAATATACAAAATTTTAATATAAAAATAATATTTTTTATCTGATATCGATAAACCAATAATTATTTTTGTGTTATGGACAACAACTAATAAAGCTGATGATGGTAGTAGTAATAATAATAATAACAATAACAATAATTTAGATATTTACCAGGGATGCACCTTCATTACAATTCTGGCAGATAACAATATGACAATATTTATTTTCATGTTATGGCCAATAACTGATAAACAGCTGATATTAAAATTCTATACTAAGTTGTCTAAATAAACAAATTAAAATCGATTGTTTTAAATGCTACAAGTGAATTTATGCATCGCAACATTATTTTGTACAGTAAGAAAAATGGTTATTACTTTTGAGATTTGCTAGAGATTAGATTTTCATCATTATTAAATTATTAGTGTAATTAATAGTGATAGATGAAGACAAATGTAAAAAGGTGAAATGAGTTTGCACAATTAAATATACAAAAGCAGCCAATATTTCCTTTTTTTAAATTACTTTTTATTATAAATAAAAAGTAAATATTGACATTTTAATTTATAATACAAAAATATTTTTTTAAATCTCAAATATTAGCCAATGACTGATATTTACATTTACATTTAGTCATTTAGCAGACTGATATATTGTGCATCCCAAAATACGAACATCTACTATATTGTTACAAAAAGGATCACAATATAATTGATATATACATTGATATAAACACTTTGATCTAATAGGTTGAGATCACTGAACCAAATGCAGAAGACATCCAATGGATGTAAAATCACAATCTCCTACAATCATTGATTTCTATTGAGGTTCTAAAGCCTAAATCAGGATTAAATGCTGCAAACTAGACTACATGTGCGACAAAGCGGCTGTTCCAGGTCGGTTTTGTTTCATTCTGCGGCTTCCGTCTCAAATAGCAGAGCTTCAGTGCAGCGGTCTGCAAACACCCCACACCGTTTAATCCAGCAGGTCCTCACCGGTCGAGAGGCAGGAAAATTGAATCACCTGAGCCTCCGCGGCTAACATGTTAATTTAATTTTTCATTTTCTAGACCGGCCGCCCCATCTGAACCCCTCCGTGCATCTGCCGCTGCATTTGATGGACAAGCGTGTTTAAACCATTTCGCTCTTTACGGGAAGCGGTGGGCGAAACCTGTCTGGATTAGGCCGGCGAGGGTTTACCGCTGCCAAACAGAGGCTGGAAGAATCAGGACTGCTAGAGGGACACATCGAGCCCGAGAAAGGTGAGAGGCAGAGAGCACAGAGGCAAAACAACACCGTCTCAAAACAAGGTGAAACGGGGGTTACCACACCACAATCAGACTGTAACGGTCAACCCTCAACGGGAGCGTACGGCAAGGAGGGTTACACACCATTGATGCAATTTTTGTTTGTTTGTTTACTGTTATTGTTGCTGTTTGCTGGATAGCTGAAGCAGGAGGGTTGTCCGTCTCCATGGTAACACCCCATGGGGGGAGGGGGGAGGAGGAGGAAGGGGAGGGGGTGAAAGGTTAAAGGTCATAAGCTAGGAAGAGAAAGCAGGGCTGTAGGCAGTGAGGGACATTTACTGTCCAATTTTGGCACTTTTGGTAAAACTAAATGGATTTGAAGAAGAATATCTGCACGTCTGGTGGGGAATTTTGAGGCTAACCGTGCTATACATTGATAATGTCCCTGCAGTCCTGCAAAGCGTACAGAACATCAATCTGGCATTAAAGAATAAAATCTGCATAATGACTTTCATTCATATTACGAACTTAAACATGAAGTGTGCAATTTCCGCAATGCGAGATTCTGTTTGGTGCCACTAGGGGAGCCGATACTATTAAAACTATTAAAAATCATTTACGTTAACAGAAATAAAGCTGAAATCAAGCAAAATATAAATACTAGATGAAAACCTTAAACTAAAACAAGAAATATCGAAATAAATATGTGAAATAAACTATTACAAATAAATAAAAAATATGAAATAAAAAACAAAAATAGTAGTAACAAAAAAGTACTAAAATTACTAGCTAAATAGAAATAAAAATGAATAAAATTACAACAGCACATAACAAACTAAAATTAAAATGTAAACTGAAAATATAAAAATAAAAGTAAATTCAACATTTTAATAAATAATAAATAATTATTTCCATTTTAAAGCAGATAACCAATAAATTACCAATATTATAAATCTAAACTATTTTGTTAAAAAAAATAAAAATTAAACAGTTGCTATGCTACAACATCAAAATATTATAATATAGAATATGAAAGATGATAAATATTCCTGTTGAAATGTTACAAAAAAAATAACAAGCACTCTTAATGAAGTGAGTACTTTTAAATCTAAAAATAGGCTGAAAAATATCAGTAAGGACAGCTATTTAAAATTAAATAATATTATTTCTTAATATTACAAACCCATAATATAATATTAAATAAATTATATATACAATATATACACACACACACACACACACTTAGGAGCCGAAATTACACACTTCAACTTCAAAGCATTTTGGCTTTATGTGTCTTATCTTGGTTGGTGTAATGATACTGTATTATTCACAGCACAAACAGACAAGCAGGCACAATCAGTATGAGTGTGGCATTATGAGTTCTTTGCCACATCCTTTTGGAAAAGTGTGTTGGATTATGGGATGCTTCCTCATCATTACAGCCCTGCCAGTGATCAGGGTGTGGTTGTGGTTATTGGGGTGAGGTTGGGTAACGGATGAGATGGGGCACAGTGTGTGGGGTAAAGGTTGTGTTGAGGGAGGTTAGTTTTAGCCTGACCGCCTGACCGCCTGACAAAAAACAACAAATATTAACAGAATATTGGTTGTTTCAATGCATTTGATTGGCTTCACGTGGGACAGCTTATATATGTGTGTGTGTGTGTGTGTGTGTGTATATATATAATATATAATACACACCAAATATATAATAAATAATTGTTACTTACATTATAATTTGTTACTTACATTATTATATAATTTGTTATTATTTTTTTATATTAAATACACATATATGTTACAAATAATTGTTACTTACATTATAATTTGAGTATCATATTTTTTTAAATAAAATAGTACATTTTTAAAAGTAAAATATTAAATTATTATTACTTTTTAAAAAATATTAAATACATACACATACAAATTTATACAGAAATGTATATATATATATATATATAATGTACATGTATATATGTTTAATAAATATAATAAATAATACATCTTAATATATAATTTGTTACAAATAATTATAGCTTACAATATAATTTGATTTAAGCAAAATATGTAATAATTTAAAATATTTGAATATGTATAATAGATATAATTTTATATAATTAATACTTAATAATTAATATAAAAATAAGTATATTTATATATAACTCACTGCACAGCGAAACATAATTAGACACTAACGGATGAGCTCAAACACTGCAAACTTGACAGTTTTGACATCACAGCCTACTCAACTGAAATGCAGAAACTAAAATGAGCTGAATTAGTGCATTGTAAAATCTGCGAAAGAAAACAGCAATTGTGCAGCAGAAAGTTATTTCCCGGCATCAGCGAAAAACTGATTTTTAATTTGTTTCTCATTCAGTTCTGAAAATAAAACTAAGATGCAACTTCCATGTTATAGACCATATGAATCATTTTCAGGAATACGTATTCCACATAAACGGCACGTAAGAAACAAAGCAAACAACGCTTGGTCACTTTATATGTCAGTCAGACAGTGGTTTCCTGTCTAAGTGGGCGGCTCTTGACTAGTAACAAATAAAGTGGAGCAGACTTCGTGTTTCTATAGTTAAAGGTCTGGAAACACAGATCTAGGGTGTGACTGCTGAGGGTTTGGGTTTGGGGTGTGTCATGAGCTGTGGGTCAGGGGTTTGTGTCTCTTACCAGCCTGAACAGAGACTCACTTGAGTGTGAGGCGTGGATCTCCGTAAGGGGCATAAGGAGAAATGTTTAGTACAAACTCCTTGGGCGGGTATGAGCTCCAGCGCTGCTGTACTGAACTGCTGTCATTGTTATTCCAAAAGTCTCTGTCTAAATCACTGAAGAGACACACATACATGTCAGTAGAGCATCAGTCATCCATTTCATCCATCAGTCTACACACAGCCGATCTCCGGGCGTCTCCTTATCTGGGACAAGAAGTGGTTAAAAAGGAAGAGGAGAGGAATCCGCCATTCATAAGGAGGTGCAAAGACATTGTTATGAGCAGACAGGGAAATAAAAACAGAGCCAATGTATCCATAATGCGGCAGAGCAGAAACGAGCGAGATTATACCTGTGCATTCACTAGATTTATCAAAAGCATAAAGGAGAGAAAGAGAGAGATAGAAAGCTGTAGAGCATCACACTTGACCAAAACACATTATTAAACATCATAAAAGCAACATTAGATGCTCTTTTTGGTGAAAACCATTCATGTTTGGCTCAAGAAAATAAATATTGGCAAGGATGGAGAGAAACATGAAGGCTCAGATGAACCTGATATTGGGGGGAAAAGATCACATCAAGTTATAATTTCAACAACAGCTTCAGGGGAACACAAAAAAGCAATTTTCAGTTAAAAAAATATTATTTCCACAAGCACCTGCAAGCTTTAAATCCAACATACTCATTAGTCCAAACAAGCAGCTGCAATGTGATGAAGCACACAACACAGGCGAGACATCGCACCAACTTTTACCAGCGCGCGTCTCCTAGAATAACCGTCCCGCAAACAAGAAGCCGTGTGATCAACCGACCAGCAAAACAATGGGACCGCAGCGTCCTGCTGAGCTCAAACATCCCGCATCCTCAATCAAACGCTCTTCAGCGAAACCCGGCGCATTCAGATTCACCGTCACTCACCGTCAGACTGTTCAACTTAATGGTGAATGAAATGGAAAGGAAATCATAACTTATAGGCAGTGCCGATCAGTGCGGGAATATTCCAGAAGGCTGATACATTGAACAACATGGAATAAAACAATAAATATTTGCAGTAGACTTCACATTGTTTGTTTATTGTTTTAATAATATTAATTATTAATATAGGTATTAATATTAATAATAAGACAACATATGTGTATTAAATTATATTATTATAATATAATTATTTCTATTAAAAAATATATATATATACAGGTGCATCTCAAAAATGATGTTAGGAATTTAATAAATTAAAATTCTATGGGCTATCACACAACAACAACAACAACAACAACAACAACAACAAAAATGACATTTTATTTCTTAATAAAATTTTATAAAATATATATTTCATTAATCAATCAATTAGTCAATCAATTTGCTAATTAAAATTCTCTGGGCTATCACACAACAAAAAATATGACATTTTATTACTTAAAATTTTATCCATTTTTTTTTACATTATATGCATCTAAGTTAGGCACAGTATGTAAATTAATTCAAACAATGGTTAATTTTTTATAATTTTTATAATTGCTATGTTGATTTTAAACACATTTTTGAGCCTCTCTTGCTTCCTCTGACGGACTGCCACTGCTTTAACAACTTCTGAAATGATTTCCTCTGTTCAAAACACACGTGTTTGTGGTCTGTGGCGATAATGGGGATGTTTTCTTGTGATCGCAGCGCTGATTTCGGATGTTCAGGCTTCACTCCAACACAACGATCTTACAAAACACCTCACTGAACGAAACAAATGTCCCTGCACCTACTTGATGGCTTTTTTCTCTCCTCTTCCTCTTCCTGAATCTGGAGACCCGACGGACTCCACTCCTGGTTTATTTCTCTTCCCCTGAAAGACAGAGAAGAATAAAGGAAGTTTATTCCCAGTCTCCTAATCGATCACAAGCTCCGCCTCCAACTTCTGTACGTCTAGCATTATCCGCCGTTCCTGCTTCCCGCTCTTCTCCCTGATGCTTCGTTCTGATTGCTCAAATCACATGGTCGGTCCTAAGTCATCTCCATAGTAATTAAACCACACACAAGCCTCATATTTACATGGAAATAGCCAATTTAGCCTTCGGCAGCGTCACGGACTGCCGGAGAGGAAGAGCGGGAGCATATGGGAGAGACAGAATGACAGAAAGTGTCTTCAGAGGAGTAGGTGGCGATGTGGAAACCCTTCATAGACGTCAGTGCTGTCCGCCTCTCTGCTCTATAAACAACATGTTACAGGAGGTTTGCGACACAACCCACGTTCAGGTTTAGATGTAGGGAGACAGACCGAGTTAGAAGTAATGCAAGTTATGGAATCAACTTTTGAATTTACACCGTAATACCTGAGAGCGTAATGCGTGTTAATTCAATTTCGGTTTTTAGACTTTTTAAATGCCACATCGGATTCATTGTAACAGCTTCTCGTATTTATATTCTCATGCACAGCCAACAGAAAACATGACTTTACGGTGTATATGTGGTTGTAAATGATTGAAAAAAGATAGAAGATGACAAATCATAATTCAGATGCAAACTGTTGCAAAAAAGAAGAGCAAACAGAAAACAAAATCATGTGCAAGTATTACCAAAATGAACAAATGTCCCAAAGATAAAAAGTAACTTTAATATAAAAATAATATAAAAATAAATGCATTAATAAAAAAATATTTATAATTAGACAAGAAAATGTACCTTCTACTGATACCTTCGTACTGCTTTATAGATACAGTAAAGTAGATACAGTTTTGTCTTAGACAATTTTGTCTATATATATTATACTATTTATTAATATTTAGAATTTTATTTTATTTGTACTATTATTTTTATATATTTTGAATTTTAGTTAAATGTCAGTAATTTTGTTATGTGCTTTTTATGTCATTTTTATTAGATTTTTTTATATTTTTAATTAGCTTTAATTTATTTAGTTTACTTTCTTGGTTCATCTTAAACTGGTTCTTATCAGGTTTGATTAAGAAAAAGACACTAAAACCATACCAACCAAAGACACAGCTCATGCAGCTTGCAAATTTCAAATAGAGTTTTCTTTCGTGCCTTCTTGAGCAAACACACACAAAATTATGTAAGAATGGCTGTCTTGACGAGTATCCATGTAAACACAGTCAGTTACATCTTAATTTGTATCTTTGTATCTAATGGTCTCTGAGATGATATGAATAGTGGACGAGTTTGAGAGTTATTACCAAAGTGAAGTGGGAAAAAATTATGGGGGTGAGATTCATATAATGCTGAGTGGCTTCTGCATTGCTTTCTTTGTTATGCATTATAATTGTATGAGTCTTGAAGACACTGTTTAGCCTGTCCTCATATATTTCACCTCATCACCTCACCTCAACATCATCTTTTGTGTTCTGCAGAAGAAAGAAAGCCACACAGGTTTGAAACAACATGACACTTTACAACAACACTTTATAGCGTCGGCGTTTAAAGGGGCAGGCGCTCGAGCCCCTCTGCCGCACCCCCACCCCCCTATATTATTAATGTAGACATGTATTAAAGGAGTAATATAATATAATAAAATATATTTTTGTGATTAAGCTGTAACATTTGTGCATTTATACTAAATGTATTTAGACTACTGTTTTCATAGAAATACTTAGAAACCAGATACATTTTTACCATGGTATTATTGAGGTGCTATATGTGTGGTTTTAACTCTGGTTATCATGATCTAAATGTATGCTACAATGGAAGACCAATGGTTAATTTTAATAAAACTCAAAACAGTCAGAATAAATACATTTCACCACATAAAAATGAGGTTGTTATATTTTTTACAGATGTTTACTGTTTTTGATAATGAACATAAATTTACATCTGCATCCTAACTCAAGCTACTTCTACTGTCAACTCAAGCTACTGTCAAATGTGCATTTCTAAGAGACAAAAAAATTATAATAAATAAATATTATTAATATTGCAGCCTGCACTACAAACTGTGCTGAAGATACACATAATCAAAGTCAGGAACACAAACCTGTTTCAGGATTTGAAACAATATCACTTATTA